TATCCATGATAAGAGTTGTTGTCAGAAGATTTGTTGCTTTTGCTAATCGTTGTTTTCTAGGAAGTTTAGATTGTATCGCATGTATTGCACTTTGGCTGTCTGTATGTATTGTGACTTTTGAATTTGTATCAGTGATTGCCAGTGCTGTTAATATTGCTACAAGTTCTGCTCTTGTTGATGATGGAAAACCTGCACATCTGCCTTTGAACTCGACATGTGCTTGTGTTTCTTGGTTGATGAAAATTCCTCCTATCCCCATTTTAACTTGCCTGTTGGTGTATTTGTCCAATGAACCGTCTGTATAAATGTCAACTATTCTCCAGTCTTGAATTGTTCTTTTGATTTCTTCGAGTTTCTCCCTGATTTTGTGATGCAATCTCAGTTCTTCCAGGTCTGTTGTGTTTGTAGTTCCAGTCTCTGTGTCATCAATAATGATCTGAGGAATGTCTGTTGTTTCTGGTGATACGTGGCTCCAATTGTGGATTTGTCTAATAGAGTTTGGTGATACTTGAACTCGGGGGAAATTACCTATTATAGGATTGTATAGTTTCAAGCTGTTTTTTGTTTTCTTGACCGGAATAGCAATTGCATCTTTGGTGTTGACTTCTCTAATGCATCTGTTTGGTTTTCCTTGTGTATCCATTCCACATCCATTGCATTTTTCGATCGGGGAATCTCCCGAAATTTGTACGAAGTGATGAGCCTTGAATGTGTTATTAAGTATTCTAACACGTTTGTTGACTTTACCTATATAGATATTGTGATCGATGATTGTAGATATGTATCTGTGATGCTGAATGCTGCTCTGGTTGGCTAGGTCCCATGTGGCAAAGGTGTTGGTGGTGGTTTTTGAGTAATAGTCTTCTTTCATTTGAAACCAGTGGGTAATTTCTTCATACCAATGGGGCTTCCGCCCTATGTATTTTGCTCCCAATCGGGTTTTGAGGTGTGTCCACGTGATACAGTGTGAATTTGTAGTATTGGTCGCTTGTTCAACGAAAATGAAATTGTGTTTTCTCAGATTGCCTCTGTTTTTGTTAAACCATGTGTTTGGCATGAAGTCTTCCAGGGGGGTCCAATTGTTTCCTGGTATGGGAGTTGTTAACTTGGAACCCTTTGTTTCTCTGATATGTATGTTATTCGATTTTAAAAGGTGAAGGATATTCACTGTTAGGTTTTGATGAGGGAGTTTTGTCATTCTGTATTGTGCCTCCAGGATATTGTAATTGAAAGTAAATTAAGAAAAAAAAAAGTAATTAAAAATATAAAAAATAATTTAAATTTTATTTAAATAAATTATAATAATAAACTATAGATAATAATTTTAAAATTTAAATTTATAAATAAATAGATATTAAAAGAATAACTTTTTTCATCTTCAAAATTATATTTAGAAATATAATTTAAAATATATATTTAAAACAATAAAATAGTTTATATAATATAATATATTATATATTATTTGTTTTTATAAAAATTTAATAAATATATATAGTATACTTGACCAGTAAATCAATAATACAGTGGATAATACTCCCTGGTCTTCAAATGCATATCCCTAGTTCAATACCCACAAAAGACAAAACATATAAAATTTATTCTTCATTTATGGATTTATCGGTTTTTCTATAAATATCATACTTCAAATATTCGGATCCTGACTAAATTTAATTAGGCTGTATGAAAATAGGATCTCTAGTCTTCCTAACGATCACAGATTGAAAACAGGTTGAAGCAAGAAAAGTTACACAAGAAAAGGCTTCTGATTTAACTCTGATAAAAGTCCACAAATCTTCTGGCATAACAGATTCCATAGTATAAAGAATACTTTAGCCTGGAGCTATTCTAATCCGATGTTTGCTTAAAAGAAGATGATTCTTACAAGGAAAGTTGAAAATCGCAGATGGTAACAAGGAGTACAATACCTTCTTCAAGAAATCAGATAAAAAGTATTGAACAGGTTATTTGAGTGTTCTAATCAATCTTGAAAGATACATACTTTAAACAACTATTGTTAAGATTTAGATTAAGTTAGATAGTTTAAAACTAGTGGTAGGATTTTTAACTCTTAAAGATTTCACCCAGTGTGTGGATCCACTTCAGCAGTGAATAAATCGATATAACTGGGTAAGGCTATAGATAGGAGTATAGGTTAACTTAAATGGATCTTGTAGTTATATAATTGGATATAAATTACTCAATAAAAGTCATGTGCTATTAGTGCTCTTTACCTAAAATAAAAAATAAAATAAAAAATAAATATATATACTTGTTTAACTATAAAAAAAAAAATAATAATAATTCTTGATTTTTAAAAAAATATAATTTAAATTAAAAAAAGTTTAATAAAATATAAAATATTAAAAACAAGATAAATTGAATTATTTTATAAAATAATTTAAAAATTTTAATAGATAGATATATTGTATATATATTTGATATTTATTGAAATTTTTAAAATTTTTAAAAAAATAGAATATTATTATTATTTAAAAATTTTTATTAAAAAGTAAAAATATTTAATATAAATATCTTTAAATTATATTAAATTGTCTAATATATTTTGTATATTAATATATAAATAATTTTAAATTTTTTAAGTTTTTAGAATTTTTCAAATCAAAGTACTCTAAAATACTCGCCAAGTTAAATTTATTGATAAACAAACAAAGTTAATAAAGTCTTGCATTTAATGCTTATCAAAAAAAAAATGCAATAACTATTTTATTAATTATTTTTTCAAAATATATAAAATTTGTCATATGATTTAATTATAATTGGTTATTACAAGTCAAAGTTTCATATCGACATCGACATATATATCATCTCCAAAAATGGATACTAAGATACCGAAGCCAACGCCGGAACATGATCGCGTAAAACACGAATTGACAGGTCCTTTAGTTTTCCAATGTTTAAGTTGCAAAATAATCGTCGGTGATTCTTTCGCGTGGGTAGCTGCAGATCGAAAATTAAACTCAGTCACGTTATATGGTTAGAGAACTTTCGTGTTTTTCGACGTGTCTTTTTACCAGTTTGTTTAATTTCCGTTGCAAAATAGCTAAACCACATAATATAAGGGTTGGCACTGAATTATTATGGTCGAAGGAAGGTGTTGACATTGGAAGGTAAAGTTTTTACAGTTGGATTGAGTGATACTGAATAAGGTTACGGAATTATCATGAATCTTTAATATTTGTCACTAGCACGTATACGTTAATGTATTGCAACGGGTGTAATGCTACACTTGGAAAAGTATGGCGTACAACGCCTCGTAGTCTAGATTATTTACGGTAAATAATCAATTTTTTGGTTTATGATCGTTTGGCTGGTCAAAATAATTAATAATTGATTTTCTTTAAGGGACCTTTATACCATCAACCTTGATAGCATCACAATGTAAATTTTGACAATTTACTTTTTATTTTCTATTTCTATCTGCATTAAAGTTGTTCTTTGTTAGCTACGCATTAGGAGCGTATATTGATGTTAACACCACGCCATCAGATGATCACACTCTACCTAGTGCTAGGATGCAACAAGTGTCTATCAATAAGGTATGATTTACTCCAAAAGAGAAGAGTTAAATAAACTTGGGAATAACAATACCTAAATCGATAATATTACAGCTTCAAGACATGGTCTTATTGCTACATCAAAGAATTTCAGCAATGGAATGCAGCATGGGCCAACAAGGTCTAATGACATTGGATTCGAACGTAGTTGGTTCATCATATGAGAGTCTTACTCACGCACATAATGGTAATCCATAATGTTGCTAGTTTTATAGAATCCAACATTTTGTTATATAAGTAAAAATTTCTTATAGGGACTCGGAACGCGAATCAAACAATTGGGAGCAGGCCCAATCATCGCTTTTAATAGTCAACACAAGCTGTCAGTATGTCAAGACCTCAAAGAAATCAAGAAAGAGTATAAATATACAATAAAACTCAAGAGACCCAAGGTTACATGAATAGACAAGAATTAAAAAATGAAATTCAAGAAACTCTAAGAAGAACGCGTGATCTTCTATAAGTTACTGATAAGTACTGATATTTTCTTTGAGTGAGCAAATTTGGATGTGAATAATCATTGTATACAACAATTTAGAATAAATTTTATCAATTAAAATATTGTATCTATTAATTGTCAATATTGATAGTTTACCTGGCTTGATATGGTTATAATTATTTATACAAAAGTTATGTAAATTAAAATTTTATTTTTTATTTTTATTTTTTTTTGCAAATAAGCATTAGATGTGTGATTTTTATTAAACACTTGTTTATAATCATTACATCAACAATTTTTACATATGTGAATTAATTGTAACCTATTGCAAATATAAGGTGATATATACAGACTCTAAAAACCTTCATGGGGAAAGAGAAGGGTAAATAATGGCTAGCTACTAGTTATATTATAAACTGGTATGTGTGCTTATTAGGAAGTAAGACATAAGTGGTTTGATATAATTGGGAAAATCAGGTTTTGGATGTGCTAGGCCTAGAAACCAGTTTGTTGTTGTGGTACAGCCTATACATGTGATATAAATTATTTTGCTGTTGACTCAATTATCAAAATTCTCAAAAATAATTGCATTTGACTCAATTATTTTATATGTTTTAATAGTGACTCAATTAATTATATCAAATAATTGCATCAAATTGTATCAAGGATTTACCTATTTCTACCATATGTATAGTACAGCCTATGGATCTTTTTTATATTAGAGGTCTTGTTTTCAATATAATATGATCATCTTGCACCAATCTTTTGGAGAGGTAAGCTGATCATGGTTTTTTGCTCTAGATAGGAATTGAAGAGTAAATAAGAAGATTAACTCCATGAAAATTCTTCTTAAGTATATGTAGATGATGGTAATATCAGATATCCAGGATAAAAATACTTGTCTAATATATATTTTTAATCAAATATTTCAGGCAAGACCAAGACTTAGCCATGCAAGACCTTATGCATATGGCCTGTTGTGTTAGAAAATTTCCATCTTCAATGATTTACTATATCTCTTTATACATTCTCAGACTTTAGTATAAAGGCTAGTGATTATTAAAAGTATTCTTAGCAGCTTTTGTATGAAAATCATAACTTCCAGTTAAAGTGATTCCATCATAACCTTTTCCAAATTAAATTCTTTGAAACAAGAGAAAAGATTTTTGTCAGGAAACCTACACCTCTTGACGAAAGTAGCTTCAACTTGAGTAAGATATATGCTTAACCAAGATAGGAATGTTGGCATTCCAGAGGATTGATGAAATGGTTATGAAGTAAGGAAAGAAAGGCCTAGAAAGAAAACCTTCAAGAGGAAGGAAAAACAGTTTATCGGCAGAAAAGGGGATTGGGAGAAGGGAAGAAAAAGGAGAAGGGAAAAAAGAAAATTGTTTTCTTGCTTATAATTATCAGACATATATAGAGCCTTACAGCAGAAAAGATTGGTCAGCCCCAAAACCTTTTTTTTCCTTATCTCAGACTTCTGTTATATGCAGGTCTTTGATCAGTTCACACTTCCCTAAGCAAAAGTGTTTCTTCAAATATGTCAACTAGTATTACATATATATATGTTTCTTAAAGGATAACGTCCGACAGTTAGAAAAGCCTCGTATGGTGTCAGTATATCTCAGACTTTACCTGCTGTAGAGTTTCATCTTTAACAAAAGAAGAGAAATGAAGGAGGAAGAGAAAAAAATTTCCTAAAAAGAAAATCTTTAGATGAAATGGAGGTAAGTGGAAAAGAGTTTTTTATTAAATTAAAATTTTATTATATTGTTAAATAATTATAATTTTTAATAAAATTGTATTAAAAAATTTATTTCAAAAATTTAATTTGTTTTTTTGTTTTTTTTTTTACTTCTAATTATGCTGTATGGCATTTATATTTATTAATCTTTATAAAAAAAAATTCTAATACAAATATTATAAGAATATATATTACAACTAAACTTATTAATACTATATAGCATACCTGTTAACAGGTAATGGTTTTTAAATATAATTATAAAAAAATGAAAAAATAACTTTTTTTAAAAAAATGTTTAAGTTAATTTAAACTATTAATACTAACCTATTATTCAAGATTGTTATTCTAATATAATTTCTGTGATTCTAAGAAATAAAAAATTTTTTATTTTTTAAAAAATTAAAAAAGAAAAAAAAGAAAAAAATTTTTTATATTAATAAAATAAAAATCCTTTTTAATCAATTTTTGTTTAATCACTTATAACTAAAAGAATTATTTAATTTTTACTATTTTATTACTAATAAAAAATATTTAAAATATTTTTTGAAAAGTATTTCTTGAAACTTTATACTTAAAAACTTTTAATTATAAAAGAATATTGATTTTTTATTTATAATTTCTTTTTTAAGCTATTTTTTTTTTGAAATTATACTATTTTATTTAATTAATAAATAATTTTAAGATCTCTTTTTTTCTTTATTCATGATTTTATAGCATAGTGATAATATTTATAAGTTTTCAATATATATTTCTAGTTCAATATTTATAAGAAGTAAATATATAAAAGTTTATTTTTTATATTATATAGTATTTACTGATTTTTATATATTTATATTTAAATATTTGGATCTTAATCAAATTAATTAGGTTGTATAAAATGAAATTTCTGATCTTTTTAATAATTATAAGTTAAAATTAAATTAAAGTAAAAAAATAGCAAGGTCTACTTGTCTTGATATAGCAACCTTTCCATTCCCAATATGTCTATACTTAGAGGCTTAGGCTTAAAATAAGTATTTGGGATCGATGATCATTCATGTACCTCAGAAAAATACCAGAAAATTAAGAATGACAAGCATAGGTACTTGAGTTAACTGTAAATTAAACAAAAAAAAAATTAGATTAAAGTAAAAAAGATATTATAAGAAAAGATTTTTGGTCTAATTTTTATAAAAGTTTATAATCTTTTTTAATATAATAGACTTTTATAACTTAACTTATTATTAAAAAATAAATCAACTTTAAAAAAATTATTATTATAGATACTAATATATAATACAATATATATGATTATAAAATCAAATTTATATAATTTTATATAATTTTCAAAACATTATAAAAATTATAATGAAATATATTTTATATATTAAATTTAATATAAACTTGATTAAAATAAAATTAAATCAAATCATTAAGATCTTTAATAATATAATTATAGGTTTTTTCAATATTATCTATATATAAAAGTTATTTTTTGTTTAATATTATATCTTTAACTTTAATAACTTAAACTAACTAAATTTTTTTGAAGTATTTATTAAAAAATATTAAAATTACATTCTATTTGACCTTTAAATCTCTAAATTTAATAGTTTGTTTTAATTAAGAATTATAATTTTTAAAGTATTTATTAATATATATATATATATATATTATTATTTCTTTAATTTTACAACTATATAAACCAAAAATATAATATAAAATAAAAATATGATTTACTAAATACTAATATAAGTTTAAAGGATTTTTTAATATTGAATTATTTAAGTATATTATTTTTTTAAAAATTCAAAATAAAAAATATTAGGATATTTAGTTATTCTATTTGCTTTTATAAAATAAAAATATTTTTTAACAAAAATGAATTAATAAATTAAATAGTTTAAATTTAATAACAGAATTTTTATTTTCTATATAATTCTATTTAATATATAGATTTTATATTTAATATAAAAGTTTGTATTAGAACCAGTGGGTCAATAGCACAGTGGGTAGTGCTCCCTGGTCTCCAAATACATGTCCCTAGTTCAATACCCATAGGGGGCAAAACGTATAAAAAATCACCTTCATTTGTGGGTTTACCGGATTACCACAAATGTCGTACCCAGACATCCGGATCTAGCCAAATTCAGTTAGGCTGCATGAAGATGGGACCTCTGGTCTTTC